CTTCAAAAAGCTATTAAAACTTCTCAAAGGGGTAGGAGAAGGAGCTTCATGGCTCCTGCAAAGGCTACTCAAAAAAAAGAAGCCTATCGCGAGGCCTCAAGGTGGTGAGGAGCCTCAGGGAGGTGCTGCAAGCTCACCACCTCCAACCTCGCGTCGCGGCCGCGCGATTAGAACTCCGTCTCGATTTCTATAGCTGTATATATATATTAAAGCCTATTGATCTCACCACCAAAATATATCGTGATAATATCTATTTGGTGTGGCTCTATAGCCTCGTTTTTAAGGTAGTTTTGGTGAGGCCGCGCGCGCACTTTGTGGTCGCGCGCACTTTGTGGTGGGGCTAGTTAACCTTAGCCCCCTTCTTAAGCTAGTTAATTGCTGCAATAATTGATACTGGCGAAGAGCTCTTATGCCGCCAAACCCGATCACGTATTAGCGTTGATTGAGCTTCAAACTCGCGTGCGTTACTTGGGGTACGAGCCTGCCAGAGAGCCTCTGCGACAGCAGCTACTGGAGTAGTAGGCGTGCGCAGCTTTATGTCCAGCTTTTATAGAACAGCGTCTGGCTAGAGAGGAACAAGGCCTGCGCCTTGAAAGGCTGAGCGGATATTAGCTGGCGTGAAGGATCGATCAAACGCTGTCTTGAACGCTGGCAGAAACTCAAGCTTGGTGATGTGGTTGATGTGGTTGCGTATCAGGCTCTCTACCTCACGGCTATACGCGCGCTTCAACGGCGAGAAGCAGCCAACGTCAAGAGGTTGAAGTAGGTGAGAGGAATGTGGCGGCATACAGAGCGTGTAGATATTGTTCTCCTTGCAAAGCTCTTGAAACTCAAGAGACTGGTGGCTCTTATGGCCGTCAAGAACAAGCAGACGACGTGTGCCGACAACGCGAGTCTTTGTGTGAGCATCAAAGTGCTTTAGCTAGGCAACACCTAGCTCGTTGTTCGTCCAGCCGTTGTCGCTAACTGCGATCGCCCAGTCGCGTGGGATCTCTGCTTCCTCGTACCAGGCGGATAGATGATATTTGCCAGCGAAGATGAGGAATGGTGGAACTGCCCAGCCAGCTGCGTTAATCGCTGCGATCAGCGTCACCCACCCACGATTGCCTGGCTCAACTGCCTTTGGCCGGCCTCTCCTCTCTAACGCTGTTACGACTAGCTGAGTCGCGATCTTGCCTATTATAAAGCCAGCTTCGTCAAAGTTGTAGACGTCCTCGTCACAGATGCCGTACTTGGCCTTTGTCTGCTCTACAAGCTCAAACCAGCTCTTGATTAGGACTGGATCTTCACATAGAGCTCTCTACCTATCGTACGCTCAATTAAAACGCGTCGTAAGACTGTCTATACGCTTGACAAAGTTGGCTAGCCACTTCTGCCCAACTTGGCCAGCGCCGCGCGCAGCTAGCAGCTTATCAGCCATATCGCGTATAGCGGCGTACGTGGGCGCAAATCCACGTAAGTCAAGATTAAGTATATGACTAACTATTACCTCCTCTTCTAGCTTAGTAAGCTTCTTTAAGTTGGGCTAGCAATCGCGTCGCGCGCGCTTCCCAGCGCGTCGGTCAATTAGTGTTGATTTTAGAATATTAAAGGCTATAGCAGCGCGTTAGGTACTTTAGATTTGGTTTCTATCTAAAGAAGAGAGAGCAAGCTGAATATCTGCCTCGTGAGAGATTGACTAAGAAGCGTGGCTTGGAGGCATTGTACGCAAAGGTGTGGTGGGTGATCAAAGTTGGTAGGGTGACCGACTCGCTTGTCTGACCGACTCGCTTATCCGTCACGTTACTCGCTTCTAAAACACGTTATGATAGAGAGCAGAATCAAAAGCTAGGTTTAGTCAGCGGTTTCGCAGTGAGGCGGACATCACGCAGTGGCGCAGCTATATGAAACAAATAGTGCAAAATGGTATTCAGAAACTAAAAGACACCAAGTGATTTACAGAGAGTACTTTAGTTTGTATACCTCAGAGTACGTGCTAAGAGGAGGAACACGAAAGCTTGCTGCGATAAAGCACGGTGCAGAGCGCATCTTCACTCAGGTAAAATGCCACGCAAGGATAGAGGCTTGTCCTGACATGTAGCCATTGACGGCATCTCCGGAACCCGTATGCCCTATTTAGAATCTGGTGATTCTTGCTCATCAGCGCTCCACCATGTTTCTAGAAACAATCTTAGCCAAAAGCGCCCATGCAATCGCGAGATGTGAATGACGTGCATCACCCATATTCCTCCTCTTCAACTGGTCGAGAGTTATCTCCCGCCGCCGCCGCCATGCCAGCAGTTCCCGGTGTCGGGATCATATTGAAATCCAGGTTGACATCGCTTTACTAGATCCACAGCCTCGTTTTGCGCGTTGGAGGTAGGAGCCGCAACGGCGACTGCGATGAAAACGGCACTAAGTAAGACAAACTTCATCTGTGATTTTAATTGATTGACAAGAGGTAAGTTTAATGATGAGAATGGCTGTGTGGGAAATTAACTGTGGGTTAGTCAATCGTTCTTATACGCTCCATCACAGCATGGAAAACACTCCCTTTTTGCTGGGGGGGCTCGGTGATATTCACCAACTCTACATATGTATCGAGTGTTTTTGATTGGTCTTACTGTATATGTACTGCCGACGCTAGAGCGATGGGCATCTTGTCTGAGGGGTATCAAGCCAACCAGCAACATAGCTGCTGACGTGATAAATGAGCTGATTCCTAGTACTTATATTGTGATAGGTTGAAGACGCTTTGCCAAACTTCGTCATGTAGTATCAGAACTCAACCTCGACGCCTTGGTTCGCTTTACCTGAGTCGCGCTGAGTCACTGCACTTGACCACTGTCAGGATAACATTTATTGGAACTAGAGCAAAGCCCGCTGCTGATCGACTTGACGTGTAATCGACTTTGTATTGGATGGTACAACGACTCATGAAGCACTATGACTAGTAAACTGTCAATTCACCTGGCTTTGTCTCGGCATGATTATCAACATCTGCCAAGGGTGACGCTTCAGCTCTTTGCTCATGAAAGGAAGTCGGATTGCTCAACTCTGCTGAAACCATGTCAAAGTGTTCGAAACTTGATGTCCAAATTATCAATTAGTCTCTCAACTAGCCTCGCGACACCTAGAGAACCTGCTCCTGTAAGCGCTCTTGGAATTGCCAAAATTCTGCAAGTGTTGGGAAGAAAGCATGACTTGCTCGGTCAATATTATTCCCAGCAAAAGGGTAACGTTTTGAGCCCCTGGATAGGCGCACATGACAACGTCAGCTATGTAAATCTCTCCATACTTGTCTGTTTCAATCTACGCCCTGTCAGCATAAATCTTAGGACCTGTTTAGTTGTAGGTTATTTTCTATTTTCTTGGACTAATTTAGGCTTTACGTTCCCAGCATTACTTACAAAATAATAATATTAAATATTAGTATAACTAGTCTATAGTAAACAATTTCAAATCCAAAACTACAACACCAATACATATTATCTTAAGCTATACTAAAAGAAGCTATCGTAATCTAATACGTTGGAGAAGAAACCGTCATTTTATATGATACGTCCCTACACGTAGGGATAGACGTTACCAAAGCGGGTCATTACGCCCCCAATACAGCAAGCTCCCGCCAATCGCCAGACTGTTAAATACACCAACATAATGCCCCGCAATCTTGTCCCACGCACCATACACTTGCACAATAACCGTATCCGCAACCGTCGCTATTACCCCCGCCATGATGGCAACACCCAGGCTCCTGCGGTCCCTGAGGACCAGCCCGAAGGTTGCCAGCAGTACTCCGTTCTGGATGTTGCGCGCTGCTATAGCTGCAACGAGGGCTTTCTTGGTCCGGTCGTCTGCTTCCTGAGTGCGCTTCGGTGATGGGGTTGAGGCGCTTGGGGTGTGCGTGATGGGGAGGCCGTAGCCATCTGCAAAAACGGACGGGTTGCGCAGGCCCATTATGCCAAAGGGAACAATCTCGAGGGTTGCAATGAAGATAGCGAGACACTCTGCTGGGGGCGGGAGGTGCTGGAAGAGGTGGCGCGGTTGGGTAGCCATGTTGGCTGATGTTGAACGGTGCGGCGCCGTGTAAATGGCTTGAAAGGCGTGAGAGATTGCGAAAGGAACTCAAAGATGCTCTGGAATACCAGGCAAGGCTGTGTGGCTTGGTGCAGGCATATACACATATATTGACTTGATGGAGCGCCCATTGGTTGGTGCGGCTCGGACTTCGGATGCGGGGACCACGACAGGCACATGTCTTTTGCGTCATGTTTTATTTTGCCATTAGAGGAAAAAGGTTGGTGTTGTCTGGGGGTTCTTTACCGTGCCCAAGTACTTGACTCAAGTACATTTTGATGCAGGCCTGATATGCAACATTGACTAGAAAGGGTACACAAGATGACCACGATGATTTCATTATTTTCTCTATAATTACAATGGAATATCACGTGGCCCTGTGAATTTATACATTTCCCATGTGAATGTATTGCGCTGTTGTGGAAAGAGCCAAGGAAATTCTCAAGGCAAGTCTGATAGAGATGAATTGAGGCGGTGATGTGTGGGATTGCTTGTCTTCATACTATCAAGTTACCCAACAAAGCATATTTGTTGTCATTCGGGAGAGTCGTCAGGGTGAATGAACTGTTCACATGGCACCTGCTTCGCGGTAGTTACATCGGCGCACTTGCCAGCCATAGTCAGAGAACAGTACCACGTGGAACAATCGCTTTTGTCGAAACATCTGGCTTTGATTCAAGCGCAGCTCATAAACGCCAATTCTTCACAACATGCGGGGGTGTAAAGGTGATGGGCATGTCAACAATGAAGCGCACAGGTTACACAACGGGGACGCACTTTCCTTGTTTGCATCATGCAATCCCTTCCTCACCTTCACTTGCACCGCGACACTGTGGATCCCGTGCTTGGGCCTTCGTCTACAAATTTCTCCCACAAACACTCCCCCCAGCTCTTTGCCAGCTCCTTCTTTCGTTACTGCACTCGTTAGCCACACGCTCTTTTCAACTCTCGGCTGCTCTCGACTACCGAAGCTCTTTCCTTGACATCCTGCACCTTCTCTCGCGCATAAACTCAGTAATTACGCCAAACACTTGACGCAATCGCCCTCGCCATGTCGAGCGGAGGTGCTTTCTGGGCTGCAGGCAACCAGGCTGTCAAGTCGGCCAACTTGCCCACACCTTGCATTACTGAGGCGCCACCACAAGGAAACCCTGATCCCGTTACGCAGCAGAAGAAAGGACTCGTGCTCAAAAGTAAGACAAACTCCACGCCTGCGCACAATTTTGTCAATGGAAACGGCGTCACTCATGGCAAGCCCAACGGTAAAAAGACTGTTTGGGCAGATGAGGAGGATGATGACGAGGTTTTCACCCACGAGTTCTTAACCGAGCAGAACTCCCCGCCTATCGTCAGTCTGCAGACAAAGATTGCTGTGCAAGGGGAGCGTATCAAGGAGCTAGAGGCGACTGTCGTCGCTAGGTCTCTTCGAATTGCCGAACTCGAAGGTAAGATCCAAGAAAAGGACTGTCATATCGAGATCCTCGAGGGCGACATCTATGAGCGGGATGAGCAGATTGAACAGTTGAGACGGGACAACCACGAGCAATATGTAAAGTTTCAAGACCTGCACCTCGAAGTCTGCGCCAAGGCAAGCCTCATTGGTGAGCTTGAGACAGAATTGAAGCAGCCCACTACCACCCAGGAACCCAAGCAGGTATCCGTCCCACACTATCCACCACCACCCAAGGTTGATGATGCGGAGGGTACCCAAGAGACCAAGGCTGAGATAGAGACGCCTACCACACCCACAGTTGCTCCAGATACCTCGAAGGTGGCTGATTCTCCCGAGTCTCAAGAGCCTCCCGAAAAGGCCGCCGGTGTTGCTACTGAAGACACTGAGAACGAGCAGAGCGCAAGTACTACTGTCGGCCCGTCGTTTAATGACTCCGAGTTTCCGACCTTCATAACTAAAGAGACACTGAAGACAGCCCCTCCCGCCCCGAAGCCGAAGACTTTGACATTCCCCATGGACATGTCCAAGTATGGTAAGAAGACTGCCACACCGCTTACCACAAAGCAAGTGCAATCTTCATCTCCAGCCGCCGGAAAGAACAGTCACACTACGCCGTGGGGTCATTCGTCCAAGCAAGGACGCGTCAAGACGGATGTGAAGCCAACTTTGGATCATCTGGCTGATATTCGCCAAATGTCGCATGGACAACGTGTCTTGTACGCCAACGGCCCAGAGGTCACTGTCAAGCTTGGGAACGTGGAACTGATGACGCTCCCCATGTATGTCCTGATGCAGTGTTCGAAAAAGGCAATGGACCACTTTACCGCCAACCCGGATGCAACGTCCTGGGTGCTCCCCGCTGGTTCCATGGACGTCGAAGCAGCCAAGGCGCATCTCAACTGGATGGAAGAAATGACGTACCAAGGCCGCGTCTACTCGATCACTCTAAACACGGCGCCAGCCTATGACACCAAGAACCTGCGCATTTGCCGCGCCGCTCGTGTTCTGGGCTTGAACAACACGTACGTCGGCCACTTTACCAAGCAATTCTGCGACCGCATTCGCGATAAACGTGCGTCGTACGAGCTGATGGATACCGTCTGCGAGCTTGCGTATCCCGACAACGACCCCATTTTCGAGTGCCTCGCCAATAACCTTGCCACGCGCAAGAGGGCCGGCAACGTCAAGGACCCAGCAGGATTAGAGAAACTGATGGCGAAGCATCCGGTGCTCGCAAGCAAGATGCAGCAGATTGAGCAGAAGCTCGCTGGTAGTCGGGCGCGAAAGTAGCTAGGTACTACTTGGGTTTGGCTGGGAGCGCAGAGCCGGGGGGGAGGAGGGGTTGTATCCAGGACCGCGGCGCCGGATACGCGCCATTGCTGGGGTGGAACCGCTAGATTTGTACCAGCATGGCACGGCTTACAGCTGGGGTGGGGTGGGAATGACATGCATGTTATTTGAGCGACATGGAGGACACCTTTTTGCTGGAAAAGCGTGGATCCTCATCCATCCATCCATGTCAATGTGTCATATGCGAGAAGAGCCGACGGATGGACAAAGTATCATGTGTGCCTTTAATTGGGGGGTAGGGTTGGGATATACACGTGTATCATGGCTGGGTCTCTCTTTCTTTCTTTTTTCTTCTTCTTTAATCCGGACGAGTGAGTGACGGATGGATGCATGGATCCTATGAAATATGCAAGGCAAAGATGAAGAAAATAATCGGCACTTAGTACATAGAGTGGCCAAATAATGATGTCTTTTTTTTTGCGCTCAAGAGTCTATAACATACACACACACACACATACACAATGATGGCAGTGCAGCTAAAGTACATACACCACTAGCATCTACACTCGACGCCCTGGCGGCTCACACAAAGATACTTGACACCCTTGTAAGGCGTAACACCGCTTCCCAGACCCTTGCTCCTCCTCTGATCGACATTTAAGCTCTCAACCTTGATACCGCTGGGCAGCCAGCCCTTGACGGAGAAGCTGACGGTAGCACAACTAGGCATGAGCACCTTATTCGCGAGCTTGATTTTTGCATCCGAGTCCGGCTGGGGGGCGCGTGTCGACGATGAGGAAGGGGCTGGAAGCGAGGGCTGGGCTAGCGTGTCGCTGTCATCGTAGTCGTAGGTAGACGTGGAGAAGGAGACGGGCCCGCCTCCGTCGAGGGCGTCGTCAGCAGAGGCGTCGTCCTGGCCCACGACGGTGCCGCGCAGCGTGGCGGTTACGCCGATGCCGCCGCCGCGATCCTGGGCCATGAGCGTCGTGACTTCGCGGCTGCTGATGCGCCATTCGATGGCTCGGTCGCCGGGCGCGTAGCCTGCGTCGCCCAGGCCGCGTGCGACGCGTATGTCGACGACGTTTTTGACCGTCGCGGGCAGCGGAATGTGGATGAGCATTTCTTCAATGGCGGGCGCGGCTGTCGTGCCCGTCGAAGCGGCAGCTCGCGCCAGACTGGCTTTTGCGGCGCTCGACTGCGAAAAGGCCGAGGATTTGCCTGTGAAACGGGGGTTGAGCAGGAGTTTGACCTCAAAGTCTGAACCAGTTGGGCCGAGGGACGGGTGGACCGAGACGGTGGCGGGGATGTTGAGTCTGGGTGCTGTATTCCTGGCCGACTTTTCTGTCGAGAAAGACTCGAGGGCAGAGGGGCCCAGAAGGTCGACCTCGTAGCCTGCTAGCACGAAGCGGCCGTCTGGAGGTACAAACGAGAGTTCTCCAGGCCGAGCCTTCCACTGATTGAGCCTCACGCAGGGGTGGAAGACGGGGAGAGAGACTGTGTTTTGGATTCCACCGGCGCATCCCAATTGCAGCAAGAGGTCGGGGACGCCAGAAACCTTTGCAGTGAATGCGATGGTGCCGTTCGCCATGGCAGCCAGGGGTCGACCCGACGGCGACAGGGTAACTTGGAGCGTCTCGACGATATCCACGTACATTTCGTTGCTCGTATGCCTGACATTTGCTCTTCTCCACGGGACGGGCGACGCCGCCTGGGTCGAAGCGGGCGATGGGCCTAACCTCGGGCTCGCCCTTCCGGCACCCAGGCCAAATGCGCTCGTAGACGAAGGCGTCAGTGAGCTCGGGGTTGTAGACGGCAGTCCGACGCCTCCCAGGAGACTCTTGAGCAGGTTGGGCGCGTCGACGACATCTCTCAGGGCATTTGGCTCCGTGTTTGCGATGATGCCGCCATCGACCATCTCGCTGAGCAGCTGCGCGACGACATCGTAGTTTGCCTCGATCTTGCTGGCCAGCAGGGGGGAGCCCAGGTAGTCTTCGAGGACGTCGGTGAGGCGGTGCAGGAAGGAGAGGATGGCCAGAGGATCCGTGTCGGCAGACGAAGGGCAGAGGAACAGCAGCTGGTCTTGTATGATGGAGTACAGCAGCGTCGGCGGGGTTGTG